AGAGAAGGAATGACATTGTGAACTTCCCACCTCCTGAGTTCTGTGCAGTTATTTTCTACCTACTGACACCTACCTCAGCTAGCTCCTTTAGGATTCTTCCCTGTGGAGTAAAAATAAGAATTAGCTTATTTTCTGAGAGCAGCACCCACAGGAGAAAGAGCCCAGGTGACAAAGCGTGATGGAGAATGCCTAGATAAATACCCTTGTTCCTATTCATTCCCCCGGCATTGTGTGGTAATGGACTCCGATATTAAAATGCATATTTCATTGTTGCTCGTCCCACAGTTTGGAGACTTGCCATTCACTATGCATGAGCCATTCACTCACGCTCATCACATGGAGAAAATTACATTTCCCCCATTGCCAAGTGGAAGAGACAGATTATCTCATGTGGATAGCACAGTGCTCCCAAGAGCAGTTTCCAGACCCCAGACTCTGAGCTAAAACACCCAGAAGGGAGACTCTGAGCTTCCGGGTCTTGGCCCAGGTCAGCTTCATTAGCTGCCCAGACTTTCACCTGGTAGGCGGACTGTGATGGGACCTGCCCGTCTGTGGTTTTTGAATAAAAGCAACATCTTAGTAACTCTTTATTGTTCCTTCCTAGAAGAGATGTTATAAAATTGAATAAATCAACACAGAGCATTTTATATTTATGCATTCTTGCTGAATTGATAACACTTATTTGTAATGAAAATTAAGCAAGCAAAATGTTAAAGTGTTCTCCTTGAAGAAGGCACTGTGAATGTTTTATCACCCGTGTACACCCATTCGCTTGTTACACATTCTTTCCTTATCCCTACCTACTCTTTTAGGTTAATAAGGGTCCAGACAGCTGCTGTCTCTGAGCATACAATCCTAAATCTCTTATGTACCTGAATACATACGATTAATGGCAATTGTGTCTGCATAATAAGTACAGTAACATCTATTACACCTCGAATGACCATTAGTGGGCTGACCACTTAATGCATTTTCCAATGATTCTACAATTTTTACTTTTTTATGGTTTCTGTCCACGTTACAATTAGCACAGTTATACGACCCACAGATTGATTCTTTCAACAATTACTGAGCACCCATTAAGTACCCGAAGTTGTACGAGGCTCTGGTGGGGTATGAAGCAGAAATAACTATAGTTTACAGCAGATCCTATGAAGTGTCCACCTGCAGTTCTCACTCTGCTTTGGTCGGGGATAAGGGAGGGGTTTATAGGCAGTGAAAGCCATTAGTGACCTCATTAGCATTTAGGTTATAATACTTTTTTCTGCCTAGAAAAGCAGTTCCCCGCCCATTCTAATAGGATGCACGCATGTATTTGGTGTGGACCTCTTTGAGCTTGCTGAAGAGCGCCACATAAACACCAATTACTTAAGTTACAGGTCTGGTGGCTTCTCTGATTCCTTTTCTCTGGCTCCCAAAGTGTTGGCTACTCTGTTAGTTTTATTTGGCGGTGCAATAAGAGCACGAATTACCAGCCCAGGCACCCCGCTGTGAATCCGAGGGCGGGTCCAGCCCCGAGCACCTGCGCTTGGCGCCCCCTGGACCCTCGGCCCAGGTCATCTCGAGTCCACGCGAGTCTCCCCTGCCTGGAGTCCGGTTCCTGCCGGCTCTTTCTCCCCGCCCTCTCCCCGGCCGCTACCGCAGCGCGGGCTGACCCGCTCCCCTCCTCCTCTTCCTCCGCTCCCCAGGTGGAGCTTGAGGGAACCCCGTCGCGGACAGAGTACGGACGGGCTTCTACGGTGAGTGCGGAGCCTGGAGAGTGTGTGCCCAGGCGGGAAGGCCAGGCTGCCCCGGGACTGGGGTCGACGCAGGTGAAGCAGCCTCAGAGGGACAGGATCGCGCCAGGCCGGTGTCCGCGGTGCGCGCTCTGCCCGAGCCGCGCGGAGGCTGCGGAGGGAGGAGCGGGGCGCGCGCGGGACGC